GAAACTTCGCCATATAAACACGGGCAAAAACCCCGGAAACTTGTATGGTACCACCAAATTCCCAGCTCAGACGTTCCCCAAAAAAGGTGTGTCAGCATCGCTGGAAACAGCAGGCGGTGGATGGCCAAATTCACCGCCTTTTTGGGGGCGGCTGAGGTAACTGAGGTAAGATCTTGGCGCTCATAAAACCGCTGATTAATGCCTGTTTTTTACGCATGTTCCAGTCTGTAAGCCTTTACAAGGCATACATCGGCCCGACGTTTTACCAGGCCTGATCTAGTATTTCAACTCCCAATCCGGGGGTTCAACTCCCCCAAGAATCAAGATCTCAAGATCCAACGGCGACGACATAGTAATTAAGGTCGTAGATGAAGCCAGCTACAGTAGGCACTATAGTTTACCGGCGTCATCCAAAAAACAATCCAATTTCACCAAGTTTTCGTAGTATTCTGGTACTTAGAGAGTTCCAAAGTGTCAACATGTAGAGATATATATCTCATATAATTAGAAGTAGGTGCATGTTTCTGTTGAACTGTAGATTCAAGGGTCAAATCTATGAATTATAGGTTTATAGAGTTAAAATTTATACCGAAAGATAGCCAATCTCTCAAACTTAACGTCTGTCTTCACAGAAACGTAATATTCTGGGGATTACAGAGATGAGAGAGGTTTGAAGATATCTCATGAGCCATGGGGTGAAATGTTTTGGGCGAACAAATTGTAAAATGGGCGGGGAGATGGGTTATCCATGGACTTTTCTTGGGCTTTGGATGGGCTGAATTCACTGCATATGCATGATCTAGCCAATCAGATGCTAGAATCAAGATATTCCGTTTTAATGTCGACTGCTACGGTGATCTCTGTTTACAATATCTGTTTGCTACGGCGTCGATACGTCGACAGTTCTCTCACTAAGAAGGTATGTCGATTTCTTCCTCCTGAAGCTATTCCCCTGAAGCCCTTCATCCAATTTTGAACCTACTATCAAGTTGTCATCCTGATCATGTCGCAAAGCCAGGAGTTTAGATCCTCCCAGTTGGGCCTGTTCGACACTGAGCCCGACAATTCGTCAATTGCTACGCCTTCTCTTTGCCCAGCTACTCCGTCCACCTCTCGGCAGGTTGATAGCTTCTCGTTCGTTGAGCCGTCTGTTCCTTCGTCTATCGCCCTAGATCCCCTTGAACGCTTCCAACGTGTCGGTCCTGGTAGGAGAGGAGGCCAGTTTTTCCTTTACGACGCGATGAATCACACTGATTGGGTCAACTGGTGGTTGGAGACTGACTATGGATCTAAAAACAAGATCGCTTGGGAGTCACAGCATGGCTCCGCTTCGGAGACCGGGAAACAGTTTGAGCAAGTGGCCCATACGGCGACTGGAAACCCAAAGGTCTTGTGTAAGCGTTGCGATGCAATTCTTGAGCACCCTTATACTACTAAGAAGGATGCCAATGGGAGGGTTGGTCGTCATGGCACGACAACAATTACCCGTCATCTTCAGACCTCAGCCTGCCAAAAGGCTACAAGTGGACGCCGGCAGAGGGCTGAATTGACGAGGTTCCTTCAAACGGTATACTATCATACCTAGCTCTACTAGACCCTACTAACTAGCATCATGATCAGGGTAGTCATAGCCAGACATTCTCGCAAGAAGGTTTTGAGAGTAAAATCTTGGAGTTTATTACTACTAACCGGCTTCCATTCCAAATCGTTGAAAATCCAGCATTTCGTGAGCTCATCGCAGAGGTAAGTCCGTCAGACGCCAGTCCGTAGGCGTCAAATCGCCCAAATCCTCCAAATCCGCCGTCTTTACCAATCAGCCTCTATTTGCCTCGTCACCTAACTAAATCTTAAGTCTTGAATCTAGGCACAATCCGCCCTAAGCCCTCCGATCGTGCCCTCCGCTGATACAATTCGACGTCGCCTGTCTGGCCGTGTTAAAGAACGACAGCATGATACACTCAGAATGCTTCCAGAACATGCAAAGATCTCGATTGCGTTAGACTGTTGGACATCTCCATTTCAGCAGGCATTTATGGCTATTACTGGCTATTTCATCGATGCCGAATGGGTCTACCGTGAGGTGCTACTCGGCTTTAAACCCCTTCATAGTTCGCATACAGGTGCAAACCTAAGTGCTATTCTGATGGAGACGCTTACCGAACATGGCATTAAGGACCGAGTCTTTGGAATAACCACCGATAACGCATCGAATAATGAGACTCTGGTTAAGGCACTACAACAGTCTTTACAACAAGAGCCTTCGGCTTCGGCTACTGGTTTTAACGTCATCCGGGTCCCCTGTCTCGCTCATGTCATCCAATTAAGTCTGAACCAACTACTTCACCGACTTAAAGCACGCCCAAAGAATGAACAAGCCGAGACTGTCTGGACAGAGGAACAACAGATTAGCCTTGCTAAGGCGAATGCGGAGGCCAGGTCTAAGAAACGGGACATTGCGCATACCTTAAAGAGGATACGATCTCTTGCTGTTTATATCCGCGGGAGCCCTCGGCGTCGAGATCACTTCCTCAAAGTCCAACACGACCTCGACAAAGGCCAAGGCAAAGTTCCAGGGCAAGGACTTATGCCGATCCAGGACGTCAAAACTCGATGGAATTCAACGTTTCTGATGCTACGCCGGGCGAAGAGACTCCGTACTGCTATCAATGAATACTGTCGTCAGTTCAACTGTACAGAATTCGAACTTGATGATGAACAATGGCGCCAAATTGACTATCTGATCTATCTCACAAAGCCATTCTTTGACTTTACGCTCGCCCTTTCGAAGACACGAGAGGCGACGTCGTTTCTTGTCTTCAGGATCTATAACCAGCTCTTTGAACACCTTGAGAAGTGCAAGTCGCAGCTACAACGAAAACGTGTTCCATGGAAACAGCAGATGCTTACCTCCCTCGGAGCAAGCCATTCAAAACTGTCGGAGTACTATAAGAAGACGGATCATATGCGCGGGCATATCTATGCGGTTTGTACGATGCTATCGCCGGATAGTAGATTCCAGTTCTTTTTATCTGATGACTGGGAGGATGCCAAAGAGATCCGTGAGCAGTATCGAGTGGCTTTCCGTGAGGCACTTACTCCTATCCAGGAGCGTCTTACTACTTTAAATAGCCCGCAAGTGTCTTCCTCTGGATCGATGCCAAGATCCTTCCTTCTTGGCCTGATGGCTCCCCCGAAGTCTCTCTCCAAAGGCAAAGGCAAAGCTGGTAAAGCAACGCTAGGCCCGACTAAAGATGATGAGATGACGCAGTATCTCGACGGCAGTAAGTTAATCTCTATGTTTATTCTTTCTTGAGAGATGGTTTTTCGGCCGAAAAACCATCCCTATCTTCATGATACTAATTTCTTACAGGTTTAACTATATCTGATGAGCCGCTCTCCTTTTGGAGAGAGAATCAATATCGCTTCCCTGCTATTGCCGCACTTGCAAGAGATTACCTTGCAATTCCAGCCACAGGTGCTGGAGTTGAACGTCTGTTTAACACTGCACGCGATATCTGCCACTATCGCCGGGGCTCTTTGAAGGCGCAAACTATCGAAGAGCTGATGTTGTACCTCTGTACGTCAAGGTTTGATCTTGAAGTGCAAGAGGCGAAGGAATTTGAGCAGTTCTTTGGCTCTGATGAGATTCAGATCCTGGTGGAGGAGGCTCAGGCGGCTCAAAAGCCATGTGATGATGCCGAGGAGCCAGCTGAGGTGCTAGCTGTCGTCGACGTTGATGCGATCAGTGATGCTGAAGAGCAGGGTGATAGATCCGGTGATCTGATAGATGTTGACGATGACGATGACGATGCTACTATCGCTGCGGCACCGTCTCATGCGGCACCGTCTCAAGTGCGGACATCAGGGAGGAAGAGGAGGCATGTTGAGGATGATTTGTATGAGCATTATTAGCATGTAGATAGTTTTACCTCTTGGGATCTAATCAATCGATCTCATCAGTCGATCTCATCAGTTAATCTCATCAATCTCATAAATCAGTGAATTGCGTCGATTTCCATGAGATCTCAGTCAATTAGGGGCCTCAGGTGGTAATTGTAATACTCAAAATTACTAGGAAGGTCTACATAACTTATGCAAATGCCAAGAATTGGCATGTTTGCAATGTTTGGGGCCCATTTGGGGGCCCATTAAACCATATTGGGCTTCTACCTTAGGCCCATAGCCTACCAGTGGGCCTAATGCCAGGCCCAAAACCCGCCCCATTTATGGGCTGGGGTGGGTTGGGCTATGGGCTTTGTGGGCCGGTGCGGAGGTCTAGTTGGAACCATGGATCGTCGATCATACTACGGAAATTTGAAAGTAAAGAGCTCCCTGCCCCTTGCCTTGAGCAGCTCCCTATGTTCGTAGAAAGTATTTCCAAAATGGCTCACATTCTTGGTTTCCCACCTAGATACTTTTGAGTAGTCAAGCTACTCGGCCATACCCATGGCATGCTTCCATCTGCGCGGTGTTGCCTTTAACGTCCCCAGCTCAATGAAGGCAAATGGGGTCGAAAACAGAGCCACTGAATCTCAGGGGTTCCACCGTACACGGATCAAGGCCCGGCCAATCTGGATCAACGTCAATACCCATGCCCTATCGCCATTCGCACTTCTGTTAGTCTTGACTCCTTCGGGTCTCTGAGGCAAAGAAGATTGCCGATACTTCCGATGCGGATAGCCGCGTCACATTTCCCGAGCCGGAAGTCTCGTATCAAACTAGCTTCAATGTGCTTGCATTAGTGGAAGAGCTAACCAAGCCTCTTGCGCGCTAATCAAATCCATCACTAACGGCGCTCCCTACAACCAACAAACACCACATATCATTGGCTTTGCTCCCTCGCAAGCGAACGGTCGTTCCAACCCGGTCTAGGACAAATCAAGATGACAATGAAGATTTGCCCTCATCCTCCACGAGGTCAATCTGGACATCTGTTCAACAATATTTATCGGGCGTCTTGAACCTTTTGATGGCAAACGTAGGATTCTGACCGTCGAAACATGGAAGAAAGCCCCGACGCCCCGGAACCTCCTCTATCGGTTCAAGACCAGCGTGGTTCCGAATTGGACTTGTTTGTCCGTCATAACCCTGGTCAATTGCAAAAAATTCCTGATTTACGCGCCAAAATCGAGTCAATTCTTGCGTCCGTGGACTCATACTCTACCGCTATCGATGAAGGAAAGGTTATCGAGAGGCACCTGAACTTACCTCTACTCGGCAGCAGATTGGAAGACATCGTTAGCAACTCCTTCGGCAGCCCTTGCCCGCGTATCGTTGAGACAAATGGTCCGATGAATGACTATGGAGTTACTCCGGGCTGGGTAGATCTCATTCGGGACGCAACACCTGGCTAGTTCGAACCCCATGGCAATGAGATGTTTCATTACCGTACGCAAGGCCTGACAATAGAAATGAACAAACATGACCAGGAAGCAGTTTGCTCTCCTGTTTTTCGGAAGATATTCTGCTCGGGGCTCCTCCCTGAGGACCTGAAAGCAGAGCAGGAGACTATTACTGCCCTGCTAGGCGACATGTCTGAGCTGGGTAAAGATATGATACAAGGTGAGATGCCACAGCTATTGTGAAAGATTATGTACCAAGCGGCTAAACCCCATTAGCATTTGCGAAGATCCAACACGTCGTGAAACAACTCAAAGATTATAGCAGCAATCTCTCGGCTTCGACGGGAATCGCACCCTCCTCCCCTGAGCCTGTTGGCCAGGGGCCGACCATGTCTTCACGGCTTTCATCTCTCGGATCTTCAGTTGGGAATTCGGGGGGTGAAGAGAATTGCACCTTGCCAGTTGATGGACCACAAACTCCCCCACCTGATACCCGACTAGTGCAAACTCAGCAAATCACGCCGCACGGAGCCCCTGCTGCATCTGAAAGAGTAATTATTTGCACAAACACCGGGGGGAAGGCGTGCTTCATTCACCGCCTCGCCACCGCTGGACCAGGGCAGGAAAAAAAGGCATATGCGGACTTTATGCGTGGCCGATGTCATATGTCCTGGCCAAGGATAGCAGACGATTACTGGAGGACCACGGGGAATCGGGTTAGTGTCAATTCTCTAAGGCAGCAGGCTAAGCGAATGGGGATCCAAGTAGAGTGTGGAAAGCCGGAAAGACCTTCGAAATCGAGCCGGTCGAGCCGATCGAGCCCCTTGGTGCTGAAGGTCAACTTCCCTCCGCACTCAGGGAAGTCGGCCAAGAATGATCAACAACCAAATTCCATCGGAATTATGCAAGATGGAGACCATGGGGTGGGCGACAGACTAGAAGCCTCCAAAACGCATGGGCATAACACTGAGCCCAAATACTCCACGCCGAATTCACCTTACTCACCGCAAGATATACCCATGTCCAACGATAAGCGCAACCTTCAAACTCAAGGCTCCGGCCAGGATTCTGCCGGCCAGCTGAACTGGATGTTAAACTGACTTTGCAAATCCGTATTTTCCGCATGGTGTCTACTTGGCTATCTTTGTGTAAATAGTGTTTCGCGTCTAAGTGCGGTTGGCATACAACAAACGCAACGGAATTTGTGAGAAGTAAACCCCAGATATATATAATAATTGGTATGATTTGAAAATTCAAACATGAACATAGCGAACATGGCAATCTACGACCCAAACAAGCCATTCGCGCTCGCAGCCTTCTCTTAATAAGAAACTTATATTAAGAAACTTATATAGATTGTTGGACCCCATGTGACCCCCTGCAGTGTTCGCCTCACGTGAGGACGTGCCACCTCCGTCGCGTGTTCGCGTGGGCGTGTTGCGCTGCTCCATGGGTGATTCATGCCACTGCCGCCGTCTCGCATTGCTGGTGGGCGTAGAGCGGCGGTCTGTGGTCGTGCCTAGGGATCCCTCTCCTGCCCTGCGGCCCGACGAGCCGCATGTGCCGTTGGGCCTCACCCGCCAGCATTTCACCGTTTCTACAGAGAACATGCCGCGCCTGGCTTCAACGACCCTTTTGCTGCCCGTCCGGGAAGGTCCTCTACGCCTTCGACCCGCCATGCTTCTGACTGCGGATGGCGTCCGCATCAGGGGAGCGGGTGTTATGTTCTCGCTGCGCCCGTCCTTGGCAGCCCAGTCGATATAAAACTTGCTCTCGCTGTCGGGAGCTGCAACGATACCGGCTGTCCACGTCCAAAATCCAAGCTCCCACCGCGGTGCCGTCTTCTCTTCCTGCTGCTCCTACTGTTCGTCCGTCGTTTACAGACGCCACCCTTTCTGAACAGCGTGTGCTCTGTTCGGGCTGTGCGCGACCTTGGCAATCTGCTCGGTATAGGGTCTGTGATGACTGCCGCCATAAAGCTCGAATGCGGCGGCGGCGGCATCGTCCGCTGCCTGTACGTGCTTCGGTTAACCCTGACGCGCAAGGGGAGCCCTGCTTCCTTATATCCGTCAACCGCCTATTATTCCAGTGCAACCTGTATGGTGGAAACTCCTTGCCCAGGCTGCAGTCCGGCCCTTCTCTCAGGACTGGTCAAGGGACTGCTCCTTCTGCGGTGTGCTCCTTCTTTCCACTGAGGCTGATGGCTGGTGCTGTCGGCGAGGCCGCAGACGCCTACCTCACCTACCACCATTCACGCCAGCTGTGCAGTCTCTCCTGGACCGGTATCAAGGCCGTGTGTCTGCCATGAGCCGTCGGCTCCATGACCTGTTTGTCTTCTCCGCCATCGGCACCACTGGCCAATTCGTTCGATTCCAAGGTCAGGCGAACGTGGTCCTAGAAGGCCGGATCTACCACCGTTTGCTGGATGTCGCGGATACGGGTCACAGCATGCACTGGTTTCTTTATGACGAGTCCGAACGAGGTCTACGGGCAAGGCATCATGACATCCCTAATGACATTCTACATGGGATACGCGATTTTCTCAGTCTGGTTAATCCCTATGTGCGGACCTTGCGGCACGCCGTCAGTCAGGTCCCGGACCAAACAGTCGCCCTCGCTGTTGAGCTCTCTATCCCGCCTGCGGGTGGTGAGCTCGCTGCAGTTATCACTGCGGAAAATCTCCGCCGCGTAGCCCCGCGACAGGTCGTCTTTTACAGAAAAGGTGGCCTGCAGCCACGGTTCGTTCCGACCCTGTCTTGCCAGTACGAGCCGCTACAATATCCACTTCTCTTTCCACATGGCACGCGAGGTTGGGGCATTCTCGACGAGTCCCGGAAAAACATACCTTGCACGCTGATCCAATGGTACCGCCACCTGTTCCTGGGCGAGCCACGCATGCGGATCTATGGCCGTTTGGCGTGTGAATATGCTGTGGACATGTTCTCGCGGACGGAGGAGGAGCGCCTGCACTATCTCAAACGGGGCCGACGCATGCAAGCTGCTGCCATGGATGAGGCTCCAAGTCCTGACATCCCCGATCTCTTCGAGAACAAAATCCCTGCCGGTTTCATGGGGTCCCGGGCCTGGGCTTCGGACCAGGTGGCTGACTCCCTCGCGATCGCGCGACAGCTGGCCAAGCCGTCACTGTTCCTCACCATGACGACCAACCCTAACTGGCCCGAGATTCAGTCCCAGTTGCTCGCAGGCCAACATTTCACAGACATCCCTGCGGTGGTGTGCCGTGCGTTCCACGGACGACTCTGTGGGCTGAAGGCCTTTATGAGGGAGAAATTTGGAGGCCTCCTGTACGAGATATGCGTTACAGAGTTCCAGAAACGGGGTCTACCACACGCGCATCTGGTCGTTAAGCTCCAACATGAATTACCTTTGAGCCAACTAGATGGCTTCATCTGCGCCGAGTTACCAGATCCGGACGAGGACCCTGCCCTACATGCAGCGATCGGCAGATTCCATATGCACTCACAGAACCACTTGGACCGGTCCACGTCACGCTGTAACCGAGACGGCCGCTGCATTTACGAGTACCCTCAACCTATCAACAACCAGACATGGATGATCTTGGTCGTGTCCATTACCGCCGACGCAAGCAGGAAGATCGATGGGTGACTCCTCCTGTACCCGCCCTAGTGCACCTGCTCGACTGCCATATCTATGCGGACGTGTGCTCTACAGCGACGATCTTCCTTTACCTGTTTAAGTACCTCTTCAAAGGACCCGATCGGGCGCGCTTTGGTATTCGGGCCCTCCACGATGCCCGGGCAGACAATGAGGACGACCAAATAGATGAGTTCAGAGACGATATGAACGCCCGTTACCTCTCTTCGTCCGAGGCTGTCTACCGCATCCTCAACTTCCATACTGTCTCCAAACGTCCTGGTGTCCGCTGCCTCTCTGTCCATCTGGAAGGCAAGAACTTAGGGAGGATGCACGATCGAAACCAACCGGGTTACTTCGAGATGAGCGACCTGTTGTGGTACTTCAAACGCCCATCCACAGAAACCTTCTCAGGCTTGAAGTATACCGAGTTCTTCAGCCTTTTCTACCTAGAGACGGTGCCCCTGGATGTTCCACTACACAGAGGTCAGACCCTCATTGCTACTGTCACCACCGAAAAGGGACCATGCCAAAAGGTGTTGCGCCGTCGAGTCAGCCAGCCTATTGTCACCCGACTTCAGACCGTCCCACTTCGTCTGAAGGAAACGTTTTACCTACGCGCACTGCTCCAGGTGCGGCCAGCGAACAGCTTCGAAGATGTCCGCACTATCCGGGGGCACTGCTATCCCACATACCAGGAGGCTGCCACTGAGTTAGGACTCTTCCAGGATAACCACGAGGCCGTGTACGCGATGAATGAAGCGATCACAGCCTACAGCCGCCCGTCCCAGCTCCGCTTTCTCTTTGCCCAGCTTCTGTCTAACCTTCCATTTCCAGCTGTGGAACTATGGTCCCGCTTCCACGGCGATCTCAATGCTGACTATAGACTACGTCACCCTACGGCCCACGCCACAGACCTTGCCTTGCAGGACCTGGCACGCTATCTCTCAGCACAGGGATCGTCCTTGGCACAGTGTGGCCTACCGGAGCCCGTTCAACGTTGTGCGGAGGTGGATTTGGAACTTGCCTTCTTCCAGACCCAACTGGTATCTATCCGCGGGAGGCATAAGGAGGCCTACAGTAGGATGAATTCGGATCAAAAAGGCATCTTCGATCATCTCCTAGACCAATCGGACATTGGCGGCTGCTACTTCATCGACGGCCGTGCGGGTCGCGGGAAGACATTTTTGATGAGCGCCATGTGTGATCGCGTTAGGGCAGACGAGCGCATCGTATGCGTGACTGGAACCACCGCCCTCAGTGTGATCCATTACGAGCGGGGTCGGCCGGCCCACTCGGCCTTTGGCATTCCTGTTCAGGAGTCTGACATGGGCTTGGTGTCTAAGGTCAGCCCCCAGTCAGGTCGTGCAGAGCTCCTACGCCAGGCCTCGCTCCTGATCTGGGAGGAGCTGCCGATGGCGAAGAAGGCGGTCGTGGAGTGTGCAGACCAGCTCCTTCAAGATATCATGAGGAATGACCTGCCATTTGGAGGAAAACTCTTCATTGGACTAGGCGACTTTCGTCAGGTGGCACCAGTCGTCCGCAGAAGTTCTGGGCCTACAGCAACTGTCAACAGCTCTATCCGCACCTCCACGCTCTGGAACCACTTTAAGGTCCTGCGGCTGACTACCCCGGTCCGACAGGCCGGGGATCTGGTATACGCAAGATGGGTGGACCAGGTAGGAGATGGTGTACACCCCTATGAGACAAGTGTGCCACTGCATCACTTGCAGCATCTTGACGACCTTGACGCTGCGGCAGACTTCCTCTTCCCACAAGATTCCGTCTCTACCTCCGCCGCTGCTGTCCAGCACGCATTCCTTAGCCCGTTTAATGCGCGCGTTGATCTGTTTAATAAGCTCATCTTAGAACGGTTACCGGGGCGTGCAGGTATTCCGATTTTTGCTAATGACTATTCCCTGTAACATGATTCTAATCGCTTGACGCAACTCACCCTTCATGCTCCTCTGGCTAACCTTCCACTGCGCCAGAGACCTATTACAGTCATGATACGATTAAAGAACTAGACGATTCCACCTTCAATCTCCCCACGGGTTCAGAGGCGGATCTTCTCTCGGTATTGAACGAGCCCGGAATACCCCCGCATGAGCTCTCACTCAAAATTGGCTCCGTTGCTAGCGTGATGCGGAATCTCTCCATCGAGAAAAACTTGGTCAAAAACGTGAGGGTCCAGGTGGTTAACCTGCTACCGAATGTCGTGCAGGTACGGTTACTGCAACGAGCATGCACGCCTGACACCGAGTCGCCGACGTTCTACCTGCCACGGATCACATTCGAGTTTCGGCCTCACCGCGCGAATTGGACGGTGCAACGGCGGCAATTTCCGCTGCGTCTAGCTTATGCCACCACCTTCAACAGCTGCCAGGGTCTCACTCTGGACTGGGTTGTGCTAGATCTCACCCTGCCGGTCTTCGCCCATGGCCAACTTTACACTAGCTTATCCCGCGTCCGCTCTGCCGTAGACATCCGTATTCTCCGAGACCCAAATGACATAGAGCAAGACACCATTAATGTCGTTTATCACGAATTGCTACTGCCTCTGTGACAGCAGATAATGGGGCGAGATTCGACCTTTATGCAGCCACCATGCCGACGTTCGAGATTCACATATATAGAACCTACGTTGAGAACTTTTATTTAGTCCCATAACATCGATATTTCAAGAATGAAACTCCCTAGCATCCTACTCGCCGCGCCCGGTAGCAGCGGCCGAAGGCCGCTGCCAACGCGACTCGTATGTCATAAGATCAATACCTGCATTCTCACACGTGAAAGCGCGTCTCTTGCACGGTTGAAGCCCGCGTTGCGATGGGCGCAAAGTGATATTTCCCAAAAGGGGGTTCAACTTAGGACCCACTCAACAGCACCCACTGGCCGAAGCGCTAGCGTTCCCCTCTGTCGCGGTAGCGGACTATGCTGTCTATGCTATCACCATATTAACGTTGTCTGCCTCCATGAATGAAGTCCATCGATCAATCCATCCATTCCTGTAATAGTCGGGGGAAACAGCACGCAATGGACACTTAAGTTCACCGCCCTTCTGGGTGGTCGGCTATTGCCTCTGGTTAGACCTCCGCAGAGCCCATAAAGCCCAAAGCCCAGCCCAACCCAACCCGCAAATGGGTTGGGTTTTGGGCCCGGTCCTTAGGCCCATCGATGGGCTATGGGCTTGTACCTCGAGCCCACTGTGCGTTAATGGGGGCCCAAATGGGCCCCAAACAATACAAACATGCCGAGAATTTGGATGCCAAGATAAGTTGAACCCCCTTTTTGGTATTAATTAAATTACTTCTGTTTTACGTCCGTTTCTTACCCTGATGCCTAAGGTAATATTTTATTAGATTTAATGATTTAGAATCAATTACTAGCATTCTCTCTATGTCACGTAAAAGAACACGAGAAAACGCGGTATTAAGAAATTTTCAAAATTACAGAGGTTCACCAGAAAGTGGTGGTGCTTCCCTATAAAACCTAGATATATATCTAACATCAAAACATCAACATTCACCTTTTGGGTTATATCTCGACCCCCACCGATCGGATTTTTGTTCAAAATCAGCATGCGTACTCATAGTATTCCCTTTATTTTAAAATTTAAAATTGAACTTCATACGATTGGTGGAAGGTCGTAATACAACGATTACAGAGTCCGCTTTGTCAGCGCTTGCATGGGTTTTTTTGGGGGCCCACGGCCCAACCCACTGTGGGCTGTGGGTTGGGTTGGGCTTTGAAGGTTGAGCCCATAGCCCACCGTGGGTTGGGCCGTGGGCCTAGGGTCTGGGCCCATTTATGGGCTTTGCGGAGGTCTACCTCTGGTTACTTATCAATTCTCCTATTGGCCTGACTGGGATCCCGAACGCAACTGATCCGCTGATATATTTTTCCGCCCCGAATCAAGAGTTCCTTCGAAGATGGGTATTTAAGATTACTGGTCCCACTCGTATCTGTCACAGATCTCTTATATGCTTGTGTATTCTACATTCTATACAACCCATGATACGTCTTAAACGCGAAGGTATTCCTTGCCACTTCACTGATTTGTGTTTTTGATTAGTCCAATCCCATGTTTCGCAGTGCCCTTCGGCCCCTCTCTTTTCTGCACTGCACTAGAAGGGCTTTTACCGCGCGATATTTTCATCGGGTCACGACAGATTTCGTTACCCATGATGCGAGAGGAAACCTGGTTAGCAGCAAGGTGCCTATTATTATTGGCAACCCTGGAGAAGCTTATGTTTTGATTGAGCAAGTGGTTGGTAGTGCACTCCGTGCTGCCAGTCCCTATATATCAGCCTCTGCAGCTAGTGCTGAGGAAAGGTGTAAACTTACGTTTTTCCATGACTCGCAATACTTTGGGTTTGGTAAGTTATCAGTGTGCGAGAGTTTTCTACCGCCAATGCTAACACTTTGTTTTCATTGCTAGGATCGTCGAGTTATCCCCGGCTCTATGTCCCAAACCAAATTCCCCGCCAAACAGAGTCAGATTCAAGCCCCGCAACTTTGTTCCTGGGTGGAAAGATGCACGAGATAGCTCTAGATGGAACACCTGATGGTACAATCCAGCCACAAATCTTTCACGCCTTACGCATACTGATCCATAATGCCTAGCAAATTTTGCGGAGAATGCAAGCGCGACTGGACGGAACCTGGACAGCGTACTCTACCAGCTGAGGGATATGTGATGCCAACCTTGTTTCCTTGCAGCCATGTCGGGAATCGTTCGATACAAGACCGTGGAGACAGCTTGGCAGTTTACGACTAGAACACGGGAGAATATTTATTAGCAAAGGAGAAATCCCAATGTCGTCGAGACTACGGGATGCTTTGGTAGATACTCGAAATTCACTATTCAATGTAATAATTTCTAAATTGTTTGCAAAGTATGCATGAGTCAATTGATGCACAATTTGATTTATTCAGTTATCAATGCTAAACTAACAGATTTGAATCTTGAGGGTCTCCTTCCCTTCCCCAAAACAGGGGCGAATGGAATGCAAAGACACCGAAACAATGCGCAAGACGACACTAAATTGTGACTATGAGTCCCACCTGGAGCTCGCGAACAAAAGAATTGGATGCTGTGATCAGAACACCACCCACACGCCATTCAAACGTCCATGATGTTGACGGACAGTATCAGACTAGTACACGAGAGCCGAGCTTCTATACTCCATGACTTCTGCAGTAACAGGACCAAGAGGCGCTGCCACAGACTTGTAATAAATTCCCAATTGTTGAGCGGTCCACTGCTTGGTAACGACGGCGACGTGAGCATTTGCTAGCGCCTTGTTGTGTAGATCCTCCGCGAATGGTACCTTCTGAAGATAGAAGCCGTTGATTTTCAAGAACATATCGGCGGCCAGTAAGGCGGTGCGTTTGTTCCCGTCTTGAAAGGCATGGTTTAACATTATTTTCTCAGCAAGGTTCGCAGCAAGCTGGAAAACATCTTCCTCCTTTGCGTAGTGTTTCATGTTCATCGGCGAATGGATTGCCGACTCTAGCATGTTTGGTTGGGCTGGAACAGCATTGGGGACGACGAATCTCGCATGAAGTCGCTGAACTTGGGAGACTGTTAGAAATCGAAGCGTCTTTGTAGCCATTTGAAAGAAAACAGATATGGCAAGAAAAGGAGTTGTATGATGAAATCCAATTTGTAATTTTCAATAAGCAACCCTCTGTTGAACTCTCAGGAAGATCAAAAGGAAAAGTACAGTAAGGGAGCAATATATTCGACTGGCTCCTGACTTCAAGGAAAGTAAGAACGAGTATTTATAATACTTTCAGTTGCTCTGCTACACAAGGCTGTTGGGTTTGCAGCAACAGGCAACTCGTCCAGGCGCCTCCCGGGCGCTAACATTGCACTCCGTATTGGTTCGCTAACACTGCTCGATGTAGCGAGGTCCCTGCATTAGAATGTCGTAGTCCAGTGGAGAGCCGTACTGGGGCGAAAGCTGATCTCAGGAATCCGTGTGCACGGCCACGCTTGCGGATGCGCACGAGCGCAAATGGGAGAAATAACGCAGTGATCGATAACGTGGCTTGCAGATGTTGAAACTAAAGCTGGGAAGGACCAGCGGCTACACACAAGCCACACAAACACCTCATTTGGCGTGGAGGCCCATGTATCTAGCGAAGTCACAAGTATCGCAAATAACAATTTAACGCTTAGAGAGCTTATTGGTCTTAATCTGAAACATCTATCGCACTCATGCACGCTTTTTGATCCACTTTAAAGGGACGGCCATTTGGCCCTAGAAGTTCTTTTGCTCCTAGAGCCATTGGTGCGGTTTCTGGGAGCAAAGAAGCTGCTTCTAGGAGCCACATAGCCCCCAGGAAACCCGACATAGCTTCTGGGGTCTAGTACCGTCACTTCGAGGAATAAAAGCCACGTTCCTGTTGACAACTTGTTGATTCCTGGAGGCGTAGGTGTGCCTTCTGGGAGTGGTCCAATGACGCAAATTTGTGAGCAGGGTTGGTGAAGGGTGTTTTGTGAGAGCTTTCCGCGGTCTCGGAAGGCAGGTTATTGACTCCAGGACCCTAAAGTAAGCTCCCAGGGGCTCCACAGCTCCCAGATCTGGTCAATGTATTCCCAGAGCCAGTTTCGTTTGCAGTCAGGAACGTAGTGAAGATCCCAGGGCTAGATCTCATTTTCCTAGAAATAGAAATAGCCCCAGGATCTCAAGAGTATTTCCTAGGGGATAAACAGCTCCTAGAAATGCTTTTGAGGTTCCCAGGGCCAACATATTGGTTCTCAGAGTAAGTTAACAAGCACGAGAGTTTGTCAGTCTCTTGCCTGTGGCTTTTCTGCCAATAATCCCCGCCTTCACGCGACACGGCTCCACTGAGATGAATCCTCTGTTTCTTTGGTCACCGCCGTTAGGTATCATGAAAACAGAACTCTTATCTACCACTACAGTTTCGAGCTCAGACATTTTCGGAATCAGCGAAGCAGTCAATAGCTACTGGCTATGGTGTATTGGTGTGCAGCACTTACGAGATGAAACGGTCGCGTTGTACTTGGGAGTTTAACCATCGATATTTCATTTCTTGCTAATTTGCTTCAAAATTCTATATCACGGCTATAACGGCTATAACCTCTGTTGCCGATCACGATGCCGAGTGTTTGGTCACGTGTACTCGCGTGTGATTCACTCGCTTTTCGCATTTTCCGTCATACTCGGCTGTAACTTGTGATCACCTACGCTGAATGGAATTCAGTCGTGCCGACCGGCGAAGCGGTGCAGAAGTGGAAGGTCCTCGCGGTAGATGAGTTCCTGCTAGTCTGGCTGAGCGACGGGGGCCACTCTCTTCGACTGAAACACCTGGGGATCCCACTGACCGCTGACGCGGCTGACTTTGAGGATCGTTTGATGATAAGATCCCGAGGGTGGCAGGTTCTCCATCGGGAGACGATCCACTTGCTGTCAAAACGGAATGTGTTTCGGCATCCGATGAGGGGATTCGTAAGGGGCGAATGATGGCATCTAGGGCTCCTTCGTTTCGGCTGCGGTCATCAGTATCTTGGTCGTCTCAGAAATAAGGTCATCCACACTTACCACACACAGCATGACGTGCCAAACCCTGTATCTCGCTTTTCCAACCATTCTTCGGCGCATGACAGATGACAGAGCGATGTGCACTGACCGCAGTGCAAGATCACGCTCTCGTCCGCATGGTCTTCATCCTCAGTCTGGCAGAACACACAGTAGATGCTGTCGATGTGGATGCTGTCGACGGCTTGGCTCGGCCTGAGACTCTGCAGCGTCAAGTCTTGGACACCCGCCCGGATATTAGTTGCCGATGAGAGGATGGCTGGTCGGGTCGGCGAAACGCGCCATGGAACACTGTTCGTCCGCAGCATTGCAGAAGTCACAAATGGATTGAATGGCTGCACTGGCTCGGGGTTGGTTGACAGGGGCACCGGTGGTGGTGATGACCGCGTGTTGTCTGATGCAGGGCGTCGCCTGGAGGCTGACGATGTCTGACGCTGGCCTGGATGTACAACAACTGATGGAGAGGCCATTCTGGAGCCATGTGGTACTCGCGCCTGGTTGCGGACGGCGGCTTCATACCACTGCTGGCCAACTTGGTCGGCCTGCCGTTGCCGGTGCCATCTTGCGCAGAGGAAGTCTCTGGCCACATCACAGAGCTTCGACTGCAACGTTGACAAGTCAAACGGCTCTCTAGCGAGAGTGGTCAACTTTTGATGGCCGGTCTTGTTGTCTTCAACTTTGATCGAGTTCTTGCATGGCTCGCCTTTTTTCGTCATCCCGCAACAGGAGCCAGGACCGCCATTGGGGCTGACCTCTATCTCACAAACCAGAAGCGGATTCCAAGGCAGCATGGTAGTCATTGAGGTGGTCGTCAAAGGCAGAAAATGCTTCGGATTGTGGTGGTGTTGGGCAATCACTGCGGCGTTCCCTCGCCAGCTTTATATGCCATCGCGTGGGCTCCTTACCTACATGGCTGCGTGGCTGGCATGGAACACTTCCTTGAAACAGTACGTCGAAGAATGCATTCACACGCAGTATGCGCCGTATACAGCCGATCAGTGGCCTGCATGAAGGGATATCATTCCAGACCACTGCTGCAATCAGCTGCACATTTGACTATCCATCGCGGGGACCATACATTGGCGAACAGATTGGCTACTGCGGTAGGCAGCGAAGTCGACAAATGCTGCGTTAGATTCTGGGTTGCCTATGAATTTCGAAGTGCGTGATAGGTTGTGATTTGTTCTTATGGCGCTAGGTGCAAGATGTGGATACGTAGAGATAGATTCGGTTCCCAGGCCATCGACACACTACCAGGAACAGTTTTGGCGTTCCCAGGAGCTAGACTCCAGAGATTCTCCAACTCCGCCTTAACGTGTTTGTCAAGGCTTTGATGCTGCCGTGTGATTGCTACGCACCTCTCAGCGGAGTGACAGACTACACTCCTAGCTGACCACGGAATTTAGCTGAGGTGAGTATATAAAGGCCTCCCATATCCTACTTTCACATCTCTCACCTCACCCCTATCTACATTTCGTTTGCTCCATCCGCTGTCCAATCATGGTCCGTTCAATTCGTTCTTACGGGGTTTACCGATGAGCTAATACGTTACAGCCAAATATCAGAGACCTGCCCAACGAGCTTTTGCTGTGGATTGTGTCGTATTTGGACGGTAGTGCATTATTTGCCCTCGCAAAATCATGCAAAGACCTCGATTTTAGACTGCAGCCCAGCATCTGGAAATACAACATCAAATTTCAGAACAGCAATCTTTTGCACTTGGCCGTCAAATACGACAACATTGGTCTTGCGGAGGCTTTGCTCCAGCACAACGCCAACGTCAATGCATTTTACCGAGGCAAAACTCCTTTAATGAGGGCACTCAAATACTCTTCCGCTGCTGTGCGGGACCTCTTGCTCAGTCGTGGAGACCTAGACATCAACATTCAAAATCAAGCGCGGGAGAGCGCCCTGTGGTATGCTATCCACTACGGAACCTTTTCCGCCGTCAAAAGTGTCTTAAATCAACCCAACGTCCAGGTGGACGTCAAGCACAAACACGGCCGAACGGCGCTCCACCTAGCAGTCCTCGCAGGCAGAATAGGGTTCGTGCATCTGCTACTTTCTAGTGGCAGCGACCCTGATCTACAGGACGATTCGGGCCACTCGCCATGGGACTGGGCATGTCGCTTCAATAGACCCGTGATGGAAATGATTTTTTCAAACGATCCGATGGCCAAGGTGTTTCTTGGTACCAAATCATCACAAGAGGCTGAGCTACCTCTTCACCAAGCAGTGGCCTATGGGTCAGTAGATGTTGTCAAACGGCTTCTCGGACAAAAGGG